CAGCTGAACCGAGCTCTTGCTTCTCCAGGTGATTCTGTGAGCCAAGCAGTATCTTCTCATTAGGTTCCTTTCCAAGCTAAACCTGTAGGGGCTTGTTTCCATTGTTTACAACCAAGAATCCCGATGCTTTCATAAAACATTTTTACATGTTTGTAACATGGGTGATGCTGTACAGGGAACCAAGGTAACAAGTTCCTGTTGCCAAGGAGCTACCTGTCTGATGGAGCAGACAGACAGGAAAGCCACAGAGGGTCCAAAGTCCAGTGGGTGCGTCTTGGGAAGCTTCCAGGTGAATGTGGTGGATAAATTGCACCTTAAAGGGTGAGTGAAAGTCAGCCAGGTGGGTGGACATGAGGGAGGGATAAATGGGGGAGGGGTGCAGAGGGAGGATGCCACAAGGGAAGGTCTTTCTAGGCACAGGTACCCACTTCGGGGGAATGTGGCCAGTTCAGGAGAGAGTCAGTCAGAATGTCAGGGGTAGAGGATGAACATAAGATTGGGGGGAAGGCAGAGGTTGTGAAGAGATATTCAACTGATCACAGACACCTTGAAGACCATGCTTACGAGTATAGACTTTCTCTTCAAGGCAAGAAAGATTCAGTGAAGGATTTTAAACCGGTGAGAGACACCACAGTATCTGTGGTTTAGAAAGAGCACCCGGTAGCAGTGTGGAGGACAGGCTGGCCACAGAGCAAGACGAGGAGCAGAGAAACCAGGGAGAAAGCTGTGGCGGTGGTCCAGGCAAGAGACGATGAAAGCCAGGACAGCAGCGGAGACAGGAATGAGGTCCCAGAGCTGTTTGGAGGACAGAATTCACATGACTCCAGGGGCCACTGGACTTGGGGAGAAATGGAAATGGAGAAGCCATGCATGGTGTTGCCCAGCTGGGATAACCAGCTGACTGGTCTTGCGTGGTTAATTTAATCATGGTTATGGGTATCCATTAACCATGTTCCTGAAGCTCCAAATCATACTTTAGAACAAATATCAACAACTTTCTGACTGCCCTCTTTTAAAGGTAGACTTCTTAATTTTCTACTTCCAAAAATGCATTCAGTCTGCTTACAGGTAAAATGATATTTTTGGTATTTGGTGCAAATAATCTGACGGACATGAGGGTAGGTATAAATGAAACAAGATTGGCCATGGATTGGTAATTGTTAGAGGGAGGTGGTCTTGGGGACTCATACTGTTCTCTCTTCTTTTGTATATGTTTGCATAAAAAGTTTAAAGTGTTTTGAAAATACATTTAATCTAATAATATAGTGACGGCATTGTATATGACACATAACTTTAGAGAGAGATTTGGCAATATTTTCATAACCCTTGTATTTGTAGTCTCTGTTCTGGGAATTTGTGCTAATTAGCTGAAACAGAGTAAAGCAGAAAATAGGGGAGAGGGAAAGCCAAAGATATTCACTAAAGGGCAGAAAAGGAACTTAAGTAATTATGGCACAGGCATGTAATGGAATATTATGCCACTGTCAAAATTAGGCATGTGAACATCACGTAACAATATGAGAACTGAGCAGTTTAATAACATGTCTCAGTAGGATCACAGCTCTGTGTAAGATCAAACGGGCTTTATAAGCTCTTATAATTGTACAAAGTACATCCGTTTGGCCCCAGCTACCTCTCTGACTGGTCTACTGCTCATCCTCTCTCCATCTCTCATCTTGCTTCAGCATGCCTAACCTCCTGGCTTGCTCTCAAGCACTCCAGGCTCACCCCCGTCTTGGGCCTTTGCATTTACACATCCCTTTGCCTGGAAAACAGCTCCCACAAATACCTGTGTAGCTGGCTTCATTCATTCTACGTGGCTGACTTTCAGATCTCAGCTCAAATGCCACCAAATCAGAGACTCCTTCCTTCCAACCACATCTAAAATAGCACCCCCAGCCCATCATTCTCTGTCTCCTCAGCCTGCTTTGTCTTCATATGACTTATCACACTGAAATTATATCTGCTTTTGGTTCTTTATGTACGCAAATGTTCTCTTTTTCATGGCTGTACTTCTAATAACAGTGACTGGCACATAGCAGATACTCAGTGTTTGACTGGTTGGTTGACCATAAATGCATGTATATGAATAAAAGGCTGAAAAGAATCTTGAAGAAATGACCATTTGTGTTAGGATGAAAGGAAATAGGGTATTTTTCTCTAAACCTTTCTGCAACATATTACTTTTGATAATTTAAAAGGAAAGTGGGGAATTCCCTGGCGGTCCAGTGGTTAGGACTCCACGCTTCCACTGCTGGAAGCCCGGGTTCAATCCCTGGTTGGGGTCCCGCAAGCCGTGTGGCATGGACAAAACAAAAAAGTAAAATGAGCAAATTATTTAAAGCATTTAACAAAATAAATGTTTAGAACAGACTCATCATATTAGGTTTTGGTGTCTCGTCGCTGGGTCGAAAATCAGTTGTTTTAATGTCATTGCTCTCTTTTCTGTTTTCAGCTTTGGGGGACCTGAATTTTGACCCCCCTGATGCATTTGCTGACAAGTGAAGTCTGGGGTTTAGTTTCTCCATCTGAGGAGCTCTTGTTCCCTGTTTGACTCATGGACAAGTTGAAGGGGGTCTTTCTCAATAAGCCATCTGCCTGTGTTTTTCTGATTTCTAGGATTTCAGAAGAAAACAAGAGTCTGTCAAGCCTGTGTGAAATCCTAACTTCCCTACCCCTGTCTTTATTTCCTCCTTACTTTCTGTTTTTATTGCTGGTAGTGTTTAACATAGAAATAAGAATAATGCAACCCAGGATCCTGGAACTAACAGATGATAGCAGATACAAATCCAAAGCAAATTTGAGTTTTAAACTTTGCCCTATTTTATTGTGAGATACAATTCATTAAACACCACTTTGGCAAGTGCATTAAATGTGTCAATACTTTTTAAATTTCAACAGTCAGTTAAAGTTACCTTCCGGGAGAGAGAGTGTCAGAGCACTCAGCATGCCTCTGAGCTGCCTGGGCGACAGTTTTGCAAAGGGCCAGAGGGCCAGGGACCCCAGTCGCATCTCTTGGCTTACCGTTTCTTTTTCTCTTGGCATTCTCACCTTCTCTACTGCAGCCCTTCACACACACCCCATAAAAACACATTGGCAGTAAAGAATTAATTCACTCCATAAACAGAACTCACTGTTCTCGATGCTAAGAGATTCAATGATAAACAAGACACAGCTCATGTCACTGAAGTCTTAACCTGGTGGAAAGATGGTTACACTGGAGCAAGGAGACCCACGTAGTCAGGGAACCCACAGTTGGACCAAGCCTGTCTCAGAGCACAGCCTTTGAACGATGAGTGGCATCGCCTGGGTTTTGAAGAACTGAGATAGCTAAAAAGAGGAGAGAGAGGGAAGTGTCCCAGGCAGAAAAATCAGGCCCAGAAACCTCCAGGTATGAAGATCTAAAGGAGCCTGGGGTTGCCTCTAGGAGTGAATTCTGGTTTGTCTGGAGCAAGAATGGAGGATGGAGGTTAGGGGTAGTTCTGGTATGATTTGAGGCTCAAGATTCATAAGGGTCAATCTATGAATCCCTCCGGGGATTTGCTTACATTTTAAGGGATGGTTCAAGACTTAAAGGGATAAAACTATAAATGGAATTTTAGATTCTGTTAATAAAATTTAGATTCTGTCCTTAGGCTAGGGCCTAATAGGTATTCTTAAAGGTACAATGTTCATGGCTTCCTCCCTATAAAATAGGTCTTACAATGTTCCAGAATGGTTCAAGAAACATTTTGCACAAGGGGATCCTCAAAATGACTTTGCAGAGCCCACCTCCCTGCTTGGGGGATGGAATGTTCCATATACCCGGAGTACTATTTTAGAAGTCACAACTGGGCATCCTTTTTTTCTTTTCTCCAAACTAGAAGCAGGATCCGGCCCACCAGGTTTACGCAGGAACAGACAGCAATGGAACCAGACAGGTGTCCCAGCCACAGCCCCACAGCTGACTGAGCCTCAGTAGGTTGGGTGGGAAAGAGAGACCTTCAGCTTGTGAATCCAGCCACAACCTGCTGCCCTGACTGCCCCATCCTGATTCCACCAACACCCCGGGGGCACTTTTCCTTTCACTGGTCCACTGGCTCCCACCCAAGACTTACCTCTATGGTCATTTTCACTCATTTTCACCTTTGGGAGGTTTATACACTGCTATTCTTTGGAGAGCCATCATAGTAAATGCTTTTACTTTCCCCCGCCCCAGTTGCTGTGACTCCATCTCCCACGTCTTAAGAAAACACTGCTGGATGGCGCTCCAGGATGTGGTAATTTCCCCAAGTGAAACCCCACCCAGCTGGTGAGGCCCTGCTGGGTTCTACGTGCAGATGAGTACACCACAGAGCAGGATGGGAAAGACCAGGGAGCCAGGGAGGGTCAGAAAGTACACAGGACTCGAGTGATCGGGAGAGGAAACAAAATACCGTAGGGAACAAGGAAGGCAGAAAGGAGAGGATGGCAAGAGAAGGAAGCAACTGAGAGCTAACAGGGAATCAGAAAAGGAACAAGTGAGAGAAAGGCAGATTTGTGAGAACAAGGGGGAGAGCACCTGCATATTTCTTAATATACAGTGGGTTAAGCAGTAGGTTACCATGCTCGTGCTTAGAAAAGAATTTTTTTCAAAATGTATTTGGGAAATTTCTCTTTTTTTTTTTTATTTTTTATTTTTTTTTCCTTGCGTTATGCGGGCCTCTCACTGTTGTGGCCTCTCCCATTTGCGGAGCACAGGCTCCGGACGCGCAGGCTCAGCGGCCATGGCTCACGGGCCCAGCCGCTCCGCGGCACGTGGGATCTTCCCGAAATGGGGCACGAACCCGCGTCTCCTGCATCGGCAGGCGGACTCTCAAGCACTGCGCCACCAGGGAAGCCCTGGGAAATTTCTCTTTATATATCAAACTTGTGCAAGTACTCAGGCTTCCCACACCAGCTCGAGCTTTAAGAATGGCTTCCCCCTTGTCTCTGCACTGGGTTTTACTCTGTGAAAGTAAATCCTGGAAACCGAATTTGGGGAAATTTTCAGATCACAACATAACCAGACTATAGCAGCTAAAAACTAGGGTTTTGCCTCTCCTCCCAGGATCAGAAGGATTCACTTAAGAGCCCTCTGGGAAAACTAATGGCTGGCATTTAACAGAGTAGTTACTGTATTATATTTACTGTATTATCAGTAGGTAAGTTTACTTGCCATGAACCCCCAAGGATAATACATATTTGGCATGTAATTTCTCTTGCACTGAAGAGATTTTTGTTTTTGTAAAAGTGAGGTATACTTTTTTTTCTTTTCCATCCTTAGGTTTAGGCTTAACGTATATTTTATTTTATTTTAATTTTTTTAACATCTTTATCGGAGTATAATTGCTTTACAATGGTGTGTTAGTTTCTGCTTTATAACAAAGTGAATCAGTTATACATATGTTCCCATATCTCTTCCCTCTTGCGTCTCCCTCCTTCCCACCCTCCCAGGTGGTCACAAAGCACCGAGCTGATCTCCCTGTGCTATGCGGCTGCTTCCCACTAGCTATCTATTCCACGTTTGGTAGTGTATATATGTCCATGCCACTCTCTCACTTCAGGCTTAACGTATATTTTAAAGCATTTTTGAGGAATGCTTTCAAAGGCCTTAAAATTTTTGATCCAGTGTTTTCAGAGTGAATCGTATTTTCAGTGTTGCTTCTTAAAGGGAAATGCATTTTCTTTTGCCACAAAACTTACTTTATTAAAAAGCATAACACGTGCTACAACATGAATGACACTTGAGGACATAAGAGCAGAAAGCCAGTCTTAAAAAAGGCAAATACTGTATGATTCCACTTACATGAGGTATATAAAGCAGTCAAATTCATAGAAACAGATAGTAGAACGGTGGTTGCCACCACCGTTGGTGGGCTTGGGGGAGGGGGAATTGTCTAATCTGTACAGAGTTTCACTTTTGTAAGATGAAAAAGTTCTGGTGGTCTGTTGCACAGCAATATGAATATATTTAACACTACTGAACTGCACACTTAAAAATGGTTAAGATGGTAACTTTTATGTTATGTGGGGCTTTTTTACTACAATTAAACATTTTTAAAAAATATATTTAAAAAACATGATTCAGAAGGCTAGGACTCTAAATGTAAAGAAGTTTTAAGAGTACCTTAAACAATTTCTGCTTTTATTTTTCTTCTTATGTATGTACAAGTACGACATGATTTTTATTTTTATTTTTATTTATTTATTTTTTTAAAAATTTATTTGTTTAGTTTTGTCTGTGTTGAGTCTTCGTTTTGTGCGTGGGCTTTCTCTAGTTGCGGCAAGCGGGGGCCACTCTTCATCGCGGTGCGCGGGCCTCTCACTACCTCGGCCTCTCTTGTTGCAGAGCACAGGCTCCAGACGCGCAGGCTCAGTAGTTGTGGCTCACAGGCCCAGTTGCTCCGCGGCATGTGGGATCTTCCCAGACCAGGGCTCAAACCCGTGTCCCCTGCATTGGCAGGCAGACTCTCAACCACTGCGCCACCGGGGAAGCCCACGACATGATTTTTAAAAATCCATACCTAAATGTCTAAATAAGTTTTAATAAGTATAAAGTAAAAATCCTAGGTAATTTTTAAAAACTTACTTCAGTCACTCAGCTCTAAAGCATTCTGGCGGCATGCAGTGTCTTGAGTTACATGTCTGATGGGCTTACTTCAGCCCTATTCAGACCTCTTGCCTTGAAAACATATTATTGTAGATATATTTCTAGCATTAGTTAGTATTACTATTCTCAATTAATTTAAGCGGAAAAGGGATGTATTAAAAGGATGACAAAACTTCTATTAAAAGGATGACAAAGGTAAACATGTGTTTACCTCCACTCCTTTTGGACCCCATTTAAACAATTAAGGAATTAAAAAAACACAATCACTTCATGAATCTGTAAGGATAAAGAGAACTGGACAGATGCCAACAAAATTTTGGAATCTAGAGAGCATGAGGAGGGTACGTTTATCTGACTTTACAGTTAATTACCTGCCAAGTTTGGGGTAACAGATTTTTCAAATTTCAGAATCCCCAGAGGTTCAGTAAGTGAACCAGTAATTATACCAGGTAACTCCGAAGGAAGAGGTAGGAATGGGCAGGGCTGAAAACAGGATGATTAGTTTAAAAGTATAAGAAGTTAAACTATTAAATTCCATTTCTCACCCCGGGGCAGACAGGAGACCGAACTCATCCCCACCCTGGAAAAGATAGAAAGTTTATTTTCAGAAACTGTTGAAACACAGAGGATCTGGATTCAGAGACACTGGTCATGGTTCGAGTACCGTATTGGATAGGGCGTGAAGTAAAGTCTGTGCACAGAAGCGTGAGATCTCTCCTTAAGCCCCCTTTAGTTCCTCTAAGAACACACTGGCAACCAAGCTTAATCACCCTCTTCCCCCGCCCAATAGAGGCAGGTGCAGGGACACCTACCTGGGAAACTGACCAGCCCAAGAGAAAAAACCTGCAGATATTGACTGTGTAGAGTCCCTCAACTAAATGAATCTGTTGCTGCCCAAGCAATTACAGAGAAGCCCACTGATGGACAAGTCCTACCTATATACACAGAG